AAAAATTTCCTACCTAAAAATTGTTTTTTCGGGACAGTACATAAAAAAATTCCTGCTCAAAAAAAGAATTTAAAAGAATTTTTGCCAGAAAATATAAATATATATTTTTTCGCCAGGAGAATAAAAACATTTTTTAACAACTTGGAAACAAAGCTCTTCAGCAGGACTTCCCAACAGATAGCTTTCAAAAAATCCTCTGGGTAACCAGCATACATAAAAAAAATGTGACAACAATACGACCAACATTTGAAAAAAGACTCCTAGGAATCTGAAAAATATACAGATTATCCAACCAAATATACGGTACACATATACATATTTTTGCAACTGGACTTGAACATGTTCCCATAGCCTGATATAGCATTAAAACATTCCTTATTTCCTGCAGCTTCAAAACGTTTTTGTATGCAAAACAAAGCCCATACGTGTAAATTCAGGTATGAGCTTTGAAAAATCACCAGGAACTTTAAGAATCTCCATACTCCATTTAAAAATTACATGCAATGGATACAAAATATTGATATTTATTAAAATATACATTACTTGTGGGTATACATTATACAGGTAGAGTTGCACAAAGTGCAATATAATAAAATTATATAAAGTTTACAGTCATTGACAATCAACCTATGTACAATATTTTTTCAATTAGTTAATAAATACTTACAAATAACATTTCTAGAGGATATGACAAAAAAATATCATTATCTATTTACAATAACTTTAATTTAGTTAATAAGTATTAAACAATTTTGAGAAAAAATCAAAAGATATTACAAGTGTCCAAAAATATTTTTCTAAAAACCAGGAGAATTTTCAAAAAAAATGATCTAAAACATATATACATATATATACATACAGGTATTACATATTTCACATTTTATATACTAGCTCCTTTTAAAGTTTTATTAGATCTGAGGCATACTATAGAGTACGAATGAATTTGTTAAAGAATTGCAATTTTTCCTCTTTGGTATAATTTCCTTTATATTTCTTGTCTCTATTACATTTTCTTAAACATTTTTCRGAAAAGAGCTATACCCTTAATRTCATTGTAAAGTATTATGGCATGCCCTTCTAAAACCAGAGTATAGTGATAATTATACCCAATGTTGGTTAAAACAAACATGACAAAAGAGTACAATCATTTCATTATATGTAATGCTCTAAAACAGTAACAAAATGTTTTGCTTCAATCCCTTTGCTAAAATACATTATAGGGCACTCAATTATTACCATGATGRACAATTTTCCAAAACAAACATGGTACAACAAAGTAGGAATTAGATTAAACAGTATAACATTGCAGAATTCATAGAAAAATTCCACTAGAAATAAGAGGTACAGTACTTGTATYATTCCTTCCATTTGATGATAAATGTAACTTCCTGTCACCAAGAATCGTCCATTACACGATCAAGTCATTTGACAGTAGCTCATATGCTATTTGCCTYCTCCACAATTCCATATGGCTCTGTAAAAATCAAATAATGATGATGAAATACTTATCAGCAGTACTGGTCTRTATTAAGGAACTGCCATTAAGCTTACCTCTTCAAAATCCATTGCTAAATTCCGCAATATACTTCTGGCAAACTAAAGAAAGATACAAAATTGTTCTGTAAGCAAAACAAAATGACTCCAAAGCAGTTCTGAAGTGTATATTGCAATAAATTAATAGTTAATATTGATAACGAGTATCAAATCAAAATTATTTACCATGCAAAGAAAAACCCCGCAATCGCTGTTGTTGCTTTGCTCTGGAATTTCCTAAAGGAAATAAATATCAGCAGGTTTTGATAGACATTCAGTTTAAAAGTATTCATGTATGTACACAGCACATCATTGCCGAGAAAGGAGGCATCATGCTATAATTATGCATCGCAACATCTGTGCAGCGATTGGTATATATTCATGTATATTTTCTGTAGTAACGAGTTTGATTTGTAAAGGGTAGTTACCAGTATCTTACAGACCTTAAATTCAAAATATCAGAGACTA